CGCCGCAGGCTTCGCGCTGGCGTTTCCTCTTTCTGAACGCTACCATCAATTGCTTGCTAGGTGGTAGCAGATCTGCTTTGTCGTACGCCACCTCATGAAATCGCGGCCAAGTCAAGCGCTGCTTCATTAGGGACTTCGCAGCAATAGGGGCGTCTCTCACCGCTGTTTAATATGTGATGCACTGTGCGCATACATCGTGTTCTGTCACTAACAGTAAGACAACAGGTAAGAGCTGGTTACGGTCACCTTGTATCCCACAGTCTGTCGCGAGCCATTAACAAATCCACGCAAACATTCAGTTTCTGTGTCCTCCTTAGCGCACAACATGGTTGGGCGCAGCAGAGCCTGGTCGCTTCACGGTGTTGGAGGCGAGAGTTGATGGAGTTGTTAATCTTTTATTTATTGAAATTTAGTTGGTTGGTTTTCTCATTAAGTTCTGGCTTAATTTAACCTGGACTTAAGTTTAGGGGAAACACTTTTTACATGGGTTTATGGAAGTTAGTGGATTTAAAAATGCTGAAGCATATAGTTTGTGATTAAACCATGCTCAGGGAATGATGAATATAAATTCATAGAGGCATGAATGGAAATAATTTATTAATTGATAGAATAGGTAAGCGGGGAAGGATTTTTTTCACTTTCATGGTTACAGTTGTAGGCTAGTTTATCACTTCATTTAATATTAAATTTTTTATTCTGTATTTAGAGCAAAGGAAAAAGCAGCATTCTGAAGGTATTTTGTGTGTGTCCCTGGGATGACCTGCATGTTTCAGAGTTGCAGCTGGAGGATGTGAGGGCCCCGGCAGGGCTGGGCATGGCCACGGGGCAGGGGCTGCGCCAGAGGGAACGGTAGCAGTAACTGGGCTGGTTGCGGTTCAAATCCCTGAAGAAATTCCTTCTTCAAACAAACAAGAGTGGAGATCTTGCTCTATGTCTGCTCTCAGGCTGCTGGCCTAATCCTTAGGGGTATGAAAACGAGCTCAGGCTTTCTGAAGAAACTGGTGTGGGCTTAATGCTTAACGCCCTCACCGTCCCTTCCCCGGCATTCATAGCCACTCAGTTGTCCCCACAGGTCCTGAGAAGCACAGCAGGAGCGAGCCCCCGTGTCCTGCCCCAGCGTGGCTTTGCTGCAGCGGGCGAGCTGAGGTCACTGGTACCCAGCCCAACGCCCTCCGTGGAGCACGGCCCCCACCGCCACGCTCGCGCCTCAGGAGCCAAGAGGCAGAAGTGCCACATCCCCGCCGGAGAAGGAGCGAGGCTGTTCCCTGGGCATCCTCCCAGCATCATGACTCTCCAGGTAAGGAATTCTGCATCTGGTGAGACGGAGACGCGGAGAGGGGAGAGGGAGGGATGCACTGTCCATCTGTGCAATGCCGCATCGGAGCCAGCGGTATTTCTTCAGCATAAGGATTATTACTGTGAAATCAAGGTTACCTTGCAGCACAGGAAATTTGCCTAAGCCTTTGGAGGTTAAATGCTGCATTACTTTCACAAGTGGGGGGTGAGAGACATGCTGCTGATTTTGAACTATTCATAGGTCATGTAATTTTTTTGAGCCTTACCTGTTTAGAGCATGTGTGAATTATTTTTCTTCATGTGTGCATCTGAGTTTGCTAGGGCTGGATTACGCATTGAAAGGTAGGTACATTTTTTTTTTTTAGGATCTAGCTAGTTACCTGGAGCTGTAAAAGGAGGAGGGAAATTTCTAATGCTGAAGCAGTGGTATGTGTGCATTTGGGAAGCTTGAGTAATTTTTGAGGGAGTCATGCATATTTTCTTAGGGTGTGCGCATCTTTGGAGTTTTGATGGGCTTGTGTTTTGGTAGGAAAGCTGCTACTTTCTGCCTTCTGGCTGGAGAAAGCTTCTTTCTACCTTCTCTCTAACTATAGATTTAAATAGTTCTTGAGGAAATTATCTTCATTGCTGGCTTTTAGCCTCCTACCTTTGTAGCAACCTATGCATGCTTCCCTTGTCTTGCCCATGCCCTGGTGGATCAGGCTGTTTTTCTTCATTAGGCTTTCTATTATCCCTTTCACTTCAGGATTTGCAAGCCCTTTTATCCCGGTCTCATTATAATGTCTGTCTCAGCTTGGTTAGTGTGCGTGTTTTGCAAAGAGTGAGCAACATAATGCCCTGACCTAGATGCCGGGAGCGTATTGCCAGTAGCTCAGCAGTTTTCTTCTGAGCTGCAATTATGTCGAATGGCACAGAGGTTTCATTGTGGTGTTTTACAGCTAAGAGGAAGAATCCTGTTTCTTCAGTGTGTCAGAATTGCCAAATCCCAAACATAACACCACCTTTGTTTAATTAGCGATCACTGAAATTGTAGTTTGTTTTATTCTGCCTTGAATTCACTCTAGAAAATAAATTTTTGAGGCTGATGTTTAAGCAATGAGCCATAAATCGTTATTAGAAAGAGCTGAGTGCAGTATGATAGGCCATTGCTATATACAGTTACACTTTCACACAAAAATCAGTGGCTGAAATATTATCGTATCCTACACATTCTGCTCTAGACATTATAGAGGTTTTCTATCCGCTGTCGCTTTGGTTGACAGCTACCATCCATATCCATGAAAAATAATTGAATCAAGCTGTATGGGAATGAGGACAGGATGAATAAAATAAAGGTTTCATCAGGGAGGCTGTAAAAGATTTGTAAGTTTTGTGAACTGGTA